GAGTGATTGTAAGAAAAAGCAGTAAGAAAGCAAGAAATTGTTCGGTTTCAAAAGCATGAGAAGAGTCACTCGGGACTGAGTCCCCCTAGCTCCTTAGTTAGGTCCAAGTTGTAATTTCCTTTGGTTGATTTATTGTTGATTAAGCTGCAGAAGATTCGACAGTAGCTTGGAATCTCTTAAGCTAACCAAGCCCTCTCAGACAGACTAATCAGCGGGCGACTAGCCGTCACCGTGATAGACTACTGAGGCAATTAACACATAACTTCACTACTGGAATTGGATTCCAGTGCAAAGCAGTGAATCGATTAACTCTCATATAATCAATTCACTACTACCGATTGAAGAAGCTCTAACAACCTATTCAGATTCTATTTATCACAGGTTGAAGGAGGAATCAAGAGAAGTTGATCAGGATTCAATTGACTCAACAAACACACCTCAATCGATTATAATCAAACAGTGTCTCAATCCAAAAGTCATTTCAATCAAGATCCCTAACACATGGAACTAGAGTTCTTCATACCCAAGTGAGAAATGTCTACTCCATATATATATATAGAGAGAGAGAGAAAGAGGAAAATAGAATTCAAAGCAGTCATACTCATAAAGATGGAAATAATCTGCTCTGGGATGTCAATCTTCCCTCTAAGGATGAAATCCAAGCTTGATTGATGAAACCCAGCTCCAAAATCAACCCTAGGGTTTGTTCTTTGTACTTTCTCTCTCTAGGACTCTATTTTTTCTCTAAAAAGTCAAATCTCCCTCCTTTGGCTCGAATCTGCCTCTTTTATCCCGATTCTGGGCGAAACACGGTCGAGGACACGGTCGTGATTAACTTTGTCCACCCGTGTTCTGTCCTCACGTGGGGAAGTACATGCTCGCGTCGAGTAAAACACAGGCGTGTCCTAGGAGTGACACGACCGTGTTTCAGAACAGCTGCGTCCATGCTTTGAACTCCTCAGCAACAGTCACCAAAGAGCTCTTGGCATAAATAACACTGGCTGGGGACACAGCCGTGTTTTTTGTCGATGGCGCCTGTGTTTTCTCCTTGCATCGATTCAGCTCACGCACTAAAAAGCACTGGTGTGCCCCTTAGTGAACACGGCCGTGTTCTGGAGTAGTCTGCCTGTGTTTTGCCCCAGCTTCACTGAAGACCTTCAAACGCCCCGAAATTTGTGCCTAGCCCTTCCTTCGACGCCTGAGACCTTAAATGAGAAAAAATAGCACAACCCAGCGTAAAATAAGCAAAAGATACACGACTACGAGCCGCAAACGGATAAGAAATAAGGGTGTCAACATGTGCAAACACATCGCTATCAATCTCCATGATGGTTTTCCTTCTTTTCTCTTGTGTTTTCTCCTTTCCTAACATGGAGTAGATCATTTTTTCACTTGGGTGTTTGTAAACTCTAGCTACAATTATGAGAATGTTTGTATGGATTGAATGTTTGATGTGTGGGTGTGTTTTAATACAAGGTTATGAGGTATTTTCATGAAGATTGAGCATGTTTTTGCATTTCAATGTCTTATGCCATTTTAACCTAGGTAGAGTTAAATCTCCTTTTTGAAGAGGTTGGTAAAAGCTAGATTTCCTTGGGCAATTCATGTAACCTACTTAGGTTGAATTAGGGCAAACCTCTTGTTTCGTACTAGCACCTTGGGTTAGTTGTAATTTGGCCGTCCGAACTCCAATTCGAGGGTGAAGTAGGTAATCCTTAGTCGATAGGCCAATAGAGCTACCTTGGTAGCTTGAATCGGATTCCCTTGGCTTATCGACCGAGAGAGTGATGTTTGTTCACTAGTTGCATTTACCACACATGAGCATTCGATCCGACAAATCATGATTGTTAGCTAGGGGGAGCAACACCTAGGTGAAGCCTTCTCAACTAGAGTCAAACCCATTTACTTTCCAAATTGATTTAACCTTAGATCGTAGGGGTCGTTTGGAAGTTGTGATTGTTAAATAGGTGTATTGTTGAGAATGCATGTATAATATTATACATGTATTGTCGAATTTGATGCATTGTAGAATACAACGTTTGGTATGTGTGATTGTGTATGTCGTATCAGGTAAAAGCTGAGACAAAACAATCTCAACTCAACTATCTCAACAATCACAACTAAAAGTTGAGATATAACAATCACTCAAAATGAGTGATAGTTTCTGTCACATCACAGAAACAATCCATGTATTGTTTCTGCTAAAAAACAAAAAAACGATGCATTGTAAACAATACATGCATAATGACAATCTCAACAAAACTATCGCAACTTCCAAACGACCCCGTAGTTTTCACCAAAAAGCAACCGCTAGATAATGTTTCAAACAATTGAAGTAGGGGTAGATGGAATGGCCCGGGTTGACATTTAAACATACTTGCCCTATATTGCATCCAATTAAGGTTTATACTTGGGCCTTAATTGGGATTTTTAGTGTGATATTTGGGACGAGTCACTTCTCCTTTCATTTTTGGTGTTTCTTTGTTGGCCAGTGTTGAAGTCGTGGCGTTGGGCGGTGCGTAAACGCATTCAATACCGCGGTCCTGCTCTTCTTAGACAATTCAGAGCTCAAGTGGCAGAATGGGAATCAGCTACTTCCCCCTTGACATTGCAGCAGCAAGGGACGGCGAGACAAGATGCTCTTGTGGCATCCGACGAACAATCCAACACTTAACCTTGGTGTGGAGATACATGCCCGGATGAAGGTATTCTGGTATGTTTTGATGGGGTTTGGAAGAAAGGCCAGGGTGGGGATATTGGCTTTGTGGTTTTCACAACATCTGGGGAGTTGCATTTTGCAGTTGGTAAACATTATCCAGGTATTAGAGATGCTTTCACAATGGAATTATTGGCCTTAAGAGATGCTGTTAATTGGTGTCTAATGCATGATTTTTTTTTTTTTATTGTGAACTTATGTGGTGATTGCCAAACACTGATCCGGTGAGTTCGAGAGCAAGATTCATCTCACAGCGCCAGCAAACACATCTTGGAGGAGATTCAGTTAGCAGCCCATGGCTTCATTTCTTTTTCTTGTTCTTTTACTCCTAGATTGTATAAGAGGGCTGCCCACTTAGTGGCTTCTAATTCCCTTTCATCGACAGTTCGAATTTTTGTTTACTGTCGTGTCTGGTTACTCAGTGTCGTGTAATATCTATATTGAACTCTATCTTTGTCGGAAGGACACAACAAACTCTATCTATCTAGTCAGTAGGGGGTGTTTAAACGAAGTGGTTACCCTAGTAACCGTTTTAACCGATAATATATGGATAATTTAGTTTGGTTATTTTGGTTAATTGGTTTGGTTAAATTTTTTAGCTTGTTTAGTTTAGGTGGTTTGGTTTCAGACACTCATAACCAATCAAATCAAATTAACCAGTTAAGTAATTTACTATATACCTTATATATATATTATATGGTGGCTACATCGGTGCACTCGCTTTTTTGGGTGCATTGAAGTTAGCGATAGACATCAAATGTTGAATTTTAACTGGTAACATTAATATAATATGATGATATAATAAAGGATCACAACTAATCAATCAATTACCTAAACCCCTAAACCTTCAATTTTGAACACCAACCCAAAATCCCAAAATATGAACCCTAAACCTAAATCCCTAAATCCTAAATCCTTCAGATCAAAGTAAATATTTAATGATTTTTTTGGTAAATTCATGGGTTTCATGTCTATCATATCACAAGTAATGATTGACATTCTTTTGTCATGAATCGCCTACTCAAAATGACGATTATGAGGCGGGTGTACTGAATGCACCCAAAAAAGTGAGTACACCGAAGACACCACCATATTATATATACATACATAATACTTTGCATAACCACTCAAGAGTCAAACGCTTCCTCCCTTTTATGGTCATAAAATATAAAGCTCAATATTGTTCCTGTAGTGTACATTTTTATTTGTAGACTGTAGACCACAACATATGAACGCCTAATTTAGATAAAACTTATACATCATGTTGGATGAAAACTTGAAAGGAAGATCTTTTCAGCCTATGATTATTGCTAAAAGACTAAACCAAATCACATAAACACAATAATTCATTAACCCATACCATTGCATATATTTTGTTTGGTGATAAATCTATTGACTGTAAGATAATTGTATTAGTTGCATATACGTATATTAAAGATTAACTATATATGTATTGATTGTTATGTTTTATTCATTATATAAATTGCGAATTGATAATTAACCGAAAATTTTCTCACTTAATGATAATATGATATTATATTAGTTAATCTGGTTGACCAATCAACCAAACCAATTGAACTTTAGTTTGGTTAATTTGAATGTTGTATTAGTTTGAAGGGTTTGGTTATGATCAGAGGCGTAGCTACCACAGAATGAGGGGGTGCCAATGCACACCCTTGCTTTGGGCTCAACAAAGGGAAAATAGATGTATGTTGGAGAGAGTCATTAAAACTACACGTGAACTTGTCGACTTGGACGTTTAGGAGTTGAGGCATAAAAATATTAAAACAAATAATTTTATACAAAAAGTAAAAGATAACAAACCAATCAAGGAATCAAATTCCCTTCCAGGCTTCCAATACAAAGATAACCTATAGGTAGCATCACCCCATCCCAATTGACCAATTTCTCATTATCACTGCCCCTACCCGTAGGTAGAGATTGTCTTGGTGGTTTCTTATTGTTATTGTCCCCAAACTAATTGAGTTTTTTCAATTGATTATTTTGTTACTCCGTTTTTTAAAAAATGTAGCTTTACCATGGAGAAATCTTGATAAAAATGGTCAAAACAACTCCAAATGTTCAATGGCATGAAATTGATTCCTCAAATGCACCTACATTTAACTCTAACTTGACTACACCAGTACTGTCATAACAATCTCTCCCGGTAAACCATTTTAAGCTTGGCTTTAGATCTAGGAAAAGTGAAATTAAAATTGTTTTTTTTTTATATCGGCATGATTAGTAGAATTTAGTCTTATTTGATTTGGTAATTACGATAGTAACCATTCGAATACCTCTATTCCATAACATAAAACAAATAGATCCGTCCTTGTTCCCTCATGGGGAGAAAAAAAAAGACATCTCTGACCAGGAGAAGAAAAAAGAAGACCATTTTGTAGTGTAGGTGCAATAGTATAATTAAGTTTCTCAATCCTAATTGAACATGCACACATAGGTCAAAAGCCAAAAACCGTGGAGTCTTTTATTATTTCAGCAAAGAGAACAATAAGCAGATGGACAACTTATTATGAGTGCTTCAAAAATCTATTCATTATTAGAAGGACTACTATTGCCACCGAAGATAATAATCCGCTGGAGAACATCTCCACGATTTCCCTCATCTATCAAAGAATAGTTTTTCGGACTACTGATATAACGTTTCAATGATGGAGGATCGTAATCAACTCTCTCCTGGTCGTTTATGACGGTAACTTGGATGCCATAGCAATCATAATCGAGCCTCTGAGATACAGGCACATAACCAGCACCCATCTGCGGAGGAGCAACTCCCGCTGGACTATAAACTTCTCCTCCCCAATCTATGTAATTCGCAAAGCTCGACAGTCCCGTGAATATCTTCTGAGGCCAGGTTCCAACGGTTGCATTGATGATTCCTATTTGTAGAAACCAATTTCCGTTTGCGGGATCCTTCAAGAAAACAAACAAAAAAAAAGCACAACTCTTAAGTTTTGTCTTTGAGAAAAACTCGATGCTTCACAAATGATTATTCATAGATCATTATATGATAATATCTACCTTGCGTACGAACAGCTTCTTTTCGTATGTTGTTTTCCCGGGTGTAGAGTATGGTTTGAGAAGCAAATCCAGAGGTATATCTGTCCTCAGGATTATAAATCCGGGGCAGTAGGTGTTATAACATTGCGAATTCTTGGTCTTGATCACAAGAAGGGGAAAATCAATCGCATATGAGTGAACTTTCTTTCTCATATATAAATGGGCGAGGAAAAATTATAAGCATTTGCTGATTTTTATTTTATTTTATAATTCTACTCATTAAACAAAACTTACAGTTGTGTATATGAAGAGTCGAGTCTCACCATCCGGGTATAAGCTTGGATTAACCTACGCACACATAAATACATGAGTAATTAAGATTTTAAATTTTAATTGCGTCATGACACAAAATAACATACTAAATTATCGATGGTGTTTGTACGATTGTTACAAATTTATTAATGACACCACAAGTACTTACCGTCCATCCTACCGCAATACTGTCAGGACCGTTTTGAAATTTGACACGACTGGCACTGTATTGAGTTTTTCCAACTTGAGGATGGTACACACTAGTTATCATTCCACCTCCATAATATCTTTTTGACTCTTGTGTCCGGAGGATAGCAAACTGTATACAGGAACATTTTCAGGTAAGGAATTTAATTAAAAATGAATTGTGACTAGATCTACTGGCTAGAAAGCAGTCAAAGCACTACATATTGAATTATGAACATAGTCATGTTTTGCTCTTTGATAAAACCTAGGGAAAGTGTTGATAACTTACTTCACGACCATCTTGATTTGCATCTGTTGAAATATTGTGAGCTAGTTTAGCAGCCAAGTTCGTTCTAATAAGCTCCTTTCGTTCCATTTTTCTTATTGGTACGGTATTTGATGGGCATCCTTTACCATTTACCCATATATCAAATGGGTCGATGCCAGAAGCATCCGTATCAACCTTTTGGGTTGAAGTCTGAGAAGGGCTCATCATCTGCAAGAAAATTTAGAACATACGTCTCTTGAGCAATAAGTACTATATATATATATATGAGATGAAAATTAACTGAGATAGAGAAAATAGTTGAGCATAAGACGATTTATTACACCATACCTGAAACTCATACTTTCGGTCCTTCAATAAAGGATGATCGAAGGCTGGTTGTTCGTAGAAATCCACACAGTCATATGTGTCACCGTATTTTGTCTGTTTTGAATCAAAGGAAAAAAAGAAATCAAGAAACTTAATTGTAAGATATGACGATGGAACTCCAAAAATACTAATGATAGTTTTCTTGATTACCTGGATCGTAGTAACAGCGGGTTTGCTCAAACGTTTCATCTGCCTTCTCAAGTTTAGTTTCTCCGTTGCTGACAACTTGTGGCACCAAACTCCATAGTGGTCCGATGCAGTAAACCACATCAGCGTCAGAACTATCACAGCGGTCCATGGCGCCATATCTACTGACGAGAGAGCGCCTTAGAACGAAAGCGAGAATGTGGTTATAATTTTCTCTATACGAAGTAATTCTAGTACGTACGGACTTGCTAATATATATACAAAACCTTGTAGTAGGTGGAGAGACGAATTAAGGATGTCAAGAAAACGAATCATCGTATTAAGTTAACTATTTTGAGAGATGTGAAGATCTATTGGCTGGTTGTGATCGGAAAGAAAAGATGGTAGTGCAGTTACGTGACAACTGGAAATGAAAATATGGTAATTATATAAATGCATAGTGTAATCGCGTTCCCATTCCCTTATTCTTCTTACCTTTATTCGGGATTAAATGTCTTCCAATGGTAAGAATTATATTAAGTATAATAAGTAATAACTGATACTTTCTTTGCCGAAAAAATATGTCAGATTCTCACAAACTTGCAAACAATATATACGGTACTTAATTTTTGTTTCTAATAAGTTGGTGGTTTTCTTCATATATTGATTTGCACATAATTGTTTACCGTTTTTTTTTTGTTTTTTTTTTGTTTTGTTTAAGCAGCTTTGAAGTCTGAATAGGTAATTTATAGGAAAGATGAATTTGGTCATGGACATGTCCGCTCAGTGGCGGAGCCGGAAATTTTATATAGAGGTGTCCTCTTTAAAAATTAACTAAATAATTAAATCATTTTAAATTAGAAAATATCTAACTAATACAAGTTACAACAAAAGTCTACGGCGTGTTACAAAACATACTCAGTGTCTGGATGGCTCAACAAATATCTCCATCTTACTATACAAACATTCACAAACTGATCATTTAATCAATTTCGAAACTTGTTCTTAAAGTTTCCCAAAACTAAATATGTTATTTCAACACCTGCAGTTGCAATCGGTAAAATCAATTACTTTGAGAAGCAAGTAAACCAATCGATATGATAGAATGGAGGGAATAAGGATAACCCGTAATCAGGTTCAATTGTTAGATTTTTAAAATAATTGGGAGAAGGAATATCATTTTTACTATTAAACTAGTGTTTGAAATACAATAACAAATGAGTTGTGGTCTAATGAAAAACATGTTTACTCATAAATCTTAGTATCCTAATTTAAATCACCTAGTCTACGACTTATATTTTTTATCCACGCGAAAACTACTACCGGAATTGGATAATCGTCATCCCAAAAATTAGGGGTGTCCCGGGACACCCCCAATACCCCCTGGCTCCGCCCCTGTGTCCGCTCGTTCAACGTGATCAACTTGATCATAATCACCTCCGGTTAAGGGAATTTATTTAGCATTGCCAGATTCTGGGAATTTTTTCAGAAATACCACCCAAAAAAATTAAAATTACAACATTACTATCCATTTTCGAAAAAAATCCAAAAATACCACCTTTCCCACAAAGTGCAGGGAGAGGGCCCGGTTATTACTGAAACCCGCACCGGGTCGGGAGCGGTTTTGTTGGCCGCATGGGATCGGGGCAATAAACATGCAAACCGCTACCCCACCTAGAGGTTTGTATTATTTTTTTCGATCAATTCTAACCTAATTCGAAATTTTAAACGGACGTATTTTTGTATTTGGGTATCCGATCGTAGGGAAATTATTTTGATCCCGCATAAATTTTCAAAATCTTGCAAGCCGCAAACTGCTGCATGCGGTTTGGTCTCTCCTTCGTCCCGAAAAAAAGTCGTTTGCTACCCCGAACAAGCTTTTTCTTATTGCACCAAACTTTGGACGTGTATAACTTTGTGCTCCGCACTCCAAACGTCGTGATTTTTTATTGATTTCGCATAAATTTTGAAGGACTACTACTTTTACTAGGAAAAAATTTTCAAAACATGAATTATTTTTAGATATACGAGGTTTTGGGAATAACTTTACCTTCACTTTTCACAAATACACGTACATTTCGAAATTAAGGCTATGATAAAAATTATAGTCTTTGAAATAGTAATTCAAGAGAGGTGTGTCAAGCGACAAACTTCTTACCAAGAATTTTTTTTAAGAAACTCATGTTTTATCAGTGTAAAAAAAAAAAACTTAATACAAGATCTCCAACACAACTCTAATAATTGTAATTGACATACCTTAGAAGAATTTTTTTATTATAAAGCTATAAAAACGTATAAATATTAAATACACATTATTTATTTCAATTTCTAATTACAATGCAATACATTAATTTTAATTTACACACCTTCCACTACAAAAAAAAGGAGGCTATGACAAGGGTTTTTTGAACCTATACCAAGGGTTTTAACCCCTGCTACAAGTTGTAGCAAGGGTTTACCCAACCCTTGCACCAACCCTTGGCAAAGCTGCTCCTGCTAGACGTAGCAAGGGTTTTGAGTAACCCTTGGTGGAAGTCCCATGCAGGGGTTGTAGCAAGGGTTTAAACCCTTGCTACACTTCAATGTAAAATACAACGAGAAAATATTCATAGCATGGGGTTGTAACCCTTGATAAGTGAGTCGCTAAACATAGTGTAGCTAAAATGAAAATTTGCTCGTAGCAAGGGTTAAAACCCTTGCTTAATTCGTCACTAAAGGTCAATGAATGTTTTGCTTCGCATCCAAAATCGTCACTAAAGTTTTATTCTTAAGAAAGGTGTTTCATTAGTAACGACACTCTGGTTACAAATGATGTAATTCTGGTCATTATATGATTGTAAAATCATCATTGTTTACAAATGCACCGTCACTAAAGAGAGGTGCCTCATTAGAAATAACACTTTCGTTACAAATATGATATTCTGGTCACTATTCAAATATTCTGATATTAACTGATGGTCCTATTTTCTAACAACAACCAGCTCAACATTCTGGTCATAAAGAGAGGATCATACATAAAACTGAAAGGCTGATTACTTTGTAACTATGAAACCTCAAAGAGGATAAGGAACCTACAAATAAGGATTATAGCCTGTGAAGATATCTGCAGAAACTGAGAAGCTTCCGGGCACCTTGGACTGGGATATGCTACAAAGAGACATAAATATTCATTATTCAATTTGTTTGGTTACAAATAAAAGTGCAGGATAAAAGCAATTATATAATTGAATTGCCACTGAATACTGCTAAACTGAATTGCCATTGAATCTCAGAGCAATAGACGCTCAACTTCAAGCCACCACACATCCATGATAATCTGAAATGTCATACACTCTAGACTACTATAATAACAGCATAAAACCATGCATTTCTTTGTCACAACTTGCAACACAAACCAAGAAGTGTAGCTTCAACCACTAAATGTAAAGTAATGATAAGTACGAGAACCTAGAGAGCAATTGGCCAATAATACAAGCACCATAATACTGGAACTTGGAAGGCTTTTATTTGGAAACGAGTTATTTAGAAAATTCATTTCCTATCATCTCATAAAATTAGATACACTCAAAGAAATCTAAGTAGGTTCAAGAGTCAGACTTACTTGATTACACGAAAAAGAGGACTCCCTTAAGTAGCGCTACTCTCATGGGAATGACCATGCTCTTCTCGGAGCTCGTCGATTCCAATGAACCCCATATTCTGCAATCCAAACCTGCATAAAACAAGAAAATTCACTTTAAAGGCACTTGAAAATACAGTTATGCTGAATTAACAACTAATTCTTATGTACCGACTGTATTTTCCATGTGTCAGGAGAGGAATATCTCAAGCATCATCATCTAACACTCAGTAGGCACAAGTATGTTGATTATATTTATAAAAAAAAAAGGTTTGCACAGAGCCACAACAAGGAAGACCAAAATAATTTCAGTCAAGTGGAGTCTGCTATTAACTGGAATAACATAGAGGAACACACATACAAACATGATTAGGATCTTGCGTTGACCAAAAACGGAAAGATATCGTCTTTTTAATTAGCTAGCATAGTAAAAACAGAACCGGAAGCCATTAACCAAAGCATAAACAAAATTGAAAGCAAGATTTGGCAGTAGAGACCGTCAGCATCCAGTCCCGTGACCATAGACATAGATTTGTGGGTTGAAAAAACAGAGTAGGAAAAAAGCAGGGCAGAGAGACAGGAGAGTGGATTTACCGAGGAAAGAAGGAGAAGAAGACGAAGGCAGGAAGAACGATTCAAGCGGCTGAGAAGCGCCACCTCGATGGGTTTGAAGCAGGACAATACCCAAACTGCACACGCCGCCATGGTGTTTCTGAAAGTCATTAGCCGGACAGTATAACAACCATTCCCAGGATAATTTTTTTGACATAATCAAACACTGCTACTTGTATTGATTCTCTACCAAAACCTTACTTTTTCTTGTCCCAACTTGACAGTGAAAGATTGGATTATGAAGTCCTTGTGTCCATCCAGGTCAGGTATGTCCTGCAATGTAACAAAATGAAAAGTATTGCACCAGAAGTTAACTTACATATAACTAGCGACAAAGCAAACCCATTTGGGAAGTTTATTTCTGTTAAGGGATTTGTTTGGACCTTGAAGAGTGCAATGACAGCTGAGAAGAAGCACGTGAAAGCAGTGGCAAACACAAGGTCATGGTAATGGCTACTGGTTTCCCAAGCACGATTTTTTGCACATATTTGTACAGATTTCCTTCTTATTACTGTAAGGATATGTGTTATAAGACATGGAAAAACCAGGAACTAAGAGAATAAGTGTACCTGCATGTGTCTAAAGAAAGCTAATTGGACAACGACTGCCCTCACGATCAAGATGCGTCTGAAGAAAGCTAATTGGACAACGACTGCTCTCACGATCAAGATGCAACTGGCTGCCAGAAATGCAGGCCTCTTCCATCTCATAAACGGAAGCTATATGTAACACTAAACTTAAATGATTAAGCTTTCAACTAAACCTTGTTCATATAATAATGAAGCAAAGGGTTAATGCAAAAGTAAGCTTACTTCAACAGAGTATGCACTCCCAAGAAGAAAGCTAATGAGCAAGGAGTAGGGGACTGAAATTTCACCCCATGTGTAAAGGCTCTGCATCCCAATTTCACCACATGTTAACCAGTACGAATCGTCAAATGAAATGGAATTAGCAGTCACTTTCTGTGATTAAAGACGCAGCAACAATTGTAACCCCAGTTGCCATTGAGAACTCACCAGAAGCCAATGGCAGAGTGGGTTTGTTTACTTGCCTCAAGAACAATAGACCTGTCATCAGAACTCCCTAAAATGTTCACATCTACATTTCTACTACTCGATCCAGCATGATACATATTAAGAACAGCAAGAGCTTGAGTTATTTCTCACCTCCCCTGTGCACCATCAGGAATCCTCCCCAGGTCACCGACAGCCTTGCCTTCCACCTGCACAGCTTATCACGTTCACAATAGTTACACATCTCAAAAGTTACCCCAACAAATAATCTTGATAGAAATTGTGCCTTTGGATATCGAAAACAGAGACATTGCCACAAATGATAAAACCATAAATAAAAACCAGTTACAAGGATACAAAGGAAATAATCACACCTACCCCAAATCATGAGCAACTAACGGACTCTTCTCCTGTGTATAACTCCGCATGTAAACCATTCCACTGCACACAAAGCGGAAATTGAAGCAATTGGGCTATCGATTCCTATGTCTCCTCCATCACCACCTCCACTCTCCTTCCTTCCTCTTCCCGCCGCCGACATCCCTCCTCCGCTCAACACCGTCGCTGCAAATCAATCCTAATCACATCACTCCTCTTCACCATCGATAACCTCACTACTGCATGCAGCCGGCGGCGGCGACCGCACTACAAACCCTAAGAAACCTAATCGGAGCTCACTCACGCAAGAGAGGGAGAGCGCAAGCGAGGGAAGCAGAGAGCGAGCGAGCGAAGAAGAGAGGGAGGGAGCGAGTGAGCGAGCGAGTAAAGAAAATCAGAGTATCACCTTTCAGCTGGAGTGAGCGAGGAAGACCGGGGAATCGCCTCTTCAGCCGGAGTGCGCGAGGAAGACCGAGAATGGTCTCTTCAGTCGGAGTGAGCGATGAAGACTTGGAGGAATTGGCTCTTCAGCCGAAGTGAGCGAGGAAGGCCGGGGAATCGCCTCTTCAACCGGAGTGAGCGAGGAAGACCGGAGAATCGCCTCTTCAGCCGAATCGAGTGAGGGAGACTGGCATCGCCTTTCAGGCGGAGCGATTGAGGAGGGAGATCGAAATCTCCTTCGTTGTTTATTGGATGACTAGAATCCCCTTTCAACCTAGAATAAATTAGTTTAAGGGTCCAAATCCGTGGACCCCACGGACTTATAAATCTCACATGTTGATGTGAGATTTGGAATATGGTATAAATCCTTGATGACATTTTACCCATATATCCTCATGCAATTTTAATATTCCAAGATTGCCCTCAAATTTAACTATTATACATTATAATTAACAATAAATGAATAATATAAATGTTCAATTAATGTGCAAACATGAGTTAGATATTTTATATCGTTTCTTGTGTTCTAGTTTTCTTTGACCTTTTCATGGAACGTGTAATTCTTTGTTCTCCCGATTCTAATATATGTTGTTATATGTTACTTTTGAAAAGGAGGACAAAGAATTGGTAATTGATTATGTTACGTTAAAAGTTAAAACGGAATTTTCTCGTTTATTATTATTGTCCGTGTGGCAACATTATGCTTATTAGTATGTATTGTCCTTGTTTTGTGTACATATCATAAACATGTCAAACATATAGAAAATGATAGTAATGTAATTTTGAAGTTTTGTCCTTGTTTTGTGTACATATCATAAACATGTCAAACATATAGAAAAGGGCAGTAATGTAATTTTTTACTTCAAGTAGTAAATCCCACACCTTTAAATCCATGATAAAAACATCCCAACAGACAAAGGATTGTTACAAATCCATGATGCCTCAAATCCTTGATAAATCCTTGGGTTTTTAAATTACAAAACCCTCGTTTATAAATCCACGAAGCAAACGACCCTTAGTTTAAGGCTAGCAAGGGTTTCTGAACCCTTACAACTAAGAGAAATTTTACAATGCTATATAGTATTGGTGCTATAGGATTTTGCCTTTATGGTACAACTTAAAATTATACATTTACGTTATGGTACAACTTTAGATTGTACCTATACTTTTTGTACAAATTCTTTTATGGTACAACTTGGACTTGTACCTTTATGTGATGGTACAACTTCAAGTTGTAAAGATGTACCATAACATAATGGTACAAATTGCTTTATGGTACAACCTAAACTTGTACATTTAATGTTATGATAGTTGTACATTAAAGCACCAATACTATATAGCATAGTAGAAGTGCTCTACAACTAACCCTTGCTACAATTAATTCCGCAAATCTTAGCAGCGGTTTCGGTACGCTTGCTATCAAACCCTTGACATTGGTCATTTTCCTTGTAGTGTTCATCCGAGACCCTGGTCATTGTCCAGTCGGCTGATGCTGCCTCCGAGCTCCTCCATTAATTTCCAGTCTCCGGAGCCTGGTGCGGCGACGTCATTCGCTAATATTTCCTTCAAATAACAAGTAATTTGAAGATTGGAGTCCAAAATCCCAAATTTTAGGGTTCGCTTCTTTCCCCACTTTTCTCGAAATTATAACTGATGGGTGACCTGGATAGATTTGTAGTAGAATCATGTGAATTTACTGAAAGTATAATTATTATCCTTGGTTTACATGATTATGAGGTTAGTGACCAATTTACGAATAATTGGTTGACCGTAAACATTAAAAAAGAAATTGAGTCACAAAATAAGTTATGAATTTATTTTATAAATATTTCAAAATATCAAGCTTTCGTCATCTCTAGTTGTGATATCAGAATTGTGCATTTTATGAATTATTTTTTATTAATTTATTGACTATTTAATTTTGTCGACCGACATACCTTAATAATAATCCTGACTCCACCACTCTAGATTCTCATTCAAACTCTAGTTTCGCACCACCACATTGAAAAATAAAAGTAAGGGAGAAAATTGACTCAACTACACATTTGTTGGAGACAAGAATGAAAATGAAGGTGGAACGCTCAACATTGACACTTAAATAGGCAGGCTGAATATTTATTTATAGATATTACAATAAGACAAGAAAATATGTATATATGAGAAATCTCTTCACACCCAAGTAACATAGACAAATGAAAGTAACTTTAAACTAGACAAATAAATGTCTTTTCTTGCCACACTACGATAGTTCAATTGACAATTTTAAGACCACACAAACATTAAGCCTAATGTCTAGAGTAGCTATCATCTGCAGGCATTGTCTGAGCATCGCCTGCATCGGGCCTCCAGAGCAAGCAAATTACTTAAAGAATATGGTGTTATTATACAAAAAGTACATCAATTTCTTCCTCTTAAGTGTTGAAATTTTATTGCTTAACGTAATTTAGGATATTATTCAACTTTATCATTCACCATAATAGAGTAGCTCATGAATGAGAAGAATAGGTATTTCAATGTCTCAGGCGACAAATTACACAAAGATAAACAACTGAAAAGCCCCATGCATATAATATTACTCTTAAAGCTTGCCTCCGAAAGAAACAGAGCTTGTAGAGAAATTAAAAGGATTTGAAGACTAACAATTAGGGTTAATTGCATGATTGGTCACTGAGATTATATGAACTTCTGGTTTTGATTTTATGGATTTAATTTGTATGGGTCGGTTAGTTCAAAGTCGGGTCTGTTCTAGTTAGAGGGTTGGGTTATTCTATATGACATGGCGGGTCGGATCTCACTATTTTCGGGTTATATAGGGCTTATTAGACGATTTCGTCAGCCATGTCATCACTTAAAGAACTTCGTTAACGGAGATTGATGACGACTAACAGAGAGTGACCAAACGTAAACGGGTTTCACTAAACTAAAGGACCAACAATGGATTTAAATATTTCGAGTGACCAAACATAAACATTTTTTATAATCTCAGTGACCAACCATGCAATTAACCCCTACCAATTATGTTTTTCTTTTCCAAATGAAGTCCTACAACAAGTTTCTTAAAGATGGCCGATGGGGTCTCCAAATCTCCACATTTGGAGATATTTTTTGTGTGGCATGGGTACATGACCATTGCAAATTAATTGTGAGATCCCAATAAGTGGCACTCCACATGGCCGAGGTCTCCAATGGGACAAGATACGGTGACAACCCCCACCAAGGATATTTTGGGTATGAAAAAAATGAATATATTAATTACCTTTTTTGTATTAATTATATTGGGAATTTAATACCCATATTAAATACAATTTTTTTCTGAAATTTAAATCTTATACATTAATATCTCTATCTATCTCTTTCTCTCTCTTTTCCTTTCTCCAGCAGCCACTCTGCATCGACTGACAAACTTTTTCTCCGGCGAATTCTCTCCGGCAGACTCCCTCCGGCAACCTGAAAAAATGTACCAATGCGTTAAAAAGTGTACCAATCTATTAGTCTACTGGTAATTAATATACCAGTGCTAGTGGTACGCTACCAGTACGTTAAAAAATGTACCAGTACTAGCGGTACCAGTAAAAAATGTACCAATACTAGTGGTACGCTACCAGTACAACGCTACCAGTAGAGAATAACACAACGCTACTAGCACTGGTAGCGCTACCACTAGCATTGGTAGCGGTACCAGTAGAGAATAACACAAAAAAACAGATAATAGTGGTATTAGATGATAGTGGTACCAGATGATAGTGGTACCAGATGATAGTGGTACCAGTGAGTAGTGGTAGGGGAGCCACTGGTACGTACCAGTGAGTAGTGGTATCGTACCAATAGGAATTGGTACCACTAGCATTGGCGGTCTTCTCATCGAGATTCTTCGCACCCCCGGCGGTGGCCTTGGCGTCGAGGAGGTCGTTGAAGCCGACGCCGGAGGCAGAGAGCTTGGTGTAGAGACGATCTGGACGTCGATCTGGACGTTGCTGATGAGAACGCGGACGGAGCCGATCTGGACGTCGCGGAGCCAGGCGGCGGCGTAGATCTCGATCATGATGGCGGGGACAGCAGGCTGTGAACGGTGGGCACGGGAGAGGAAGAGGGAGGGGAGGACAGCGGCGCGGGGAGGACAGCGGCGGGGCGGGGCGCGAGGGGAGGACAGCGGCGCGGCGGCAGGGGAGGCAGAGGCGGCGACGGTGGTGGAGCTCTTGACGGCTAGGGTTTTTTTGTTAGAGATATGTGAGAGGGGAAGAGGAGGGAGACGCAGGAGAATGGGGGAGGGTCTGTTTTTTTTTTTTATAATAAAAAGTATTTATATGGAAAATGGAAAGGATCTCATGTGGTAAGTTTTCCATTCCGAATTTGCCCTTGGTTTAATCTTAACCATTAATTTAAAAAAAGAAGAAAAAGACAGGAGAGAGAACGTATCCGATGGCCACAAAGGTGGTTGTGAATCTGACAACCCCCTTGGGGTTGTCACCGTATCCTGTCCCGTCTCCAATTCTTCATTGTTTGGATATATCTGGGCAATTTGATTGTGAGATGAGATGTCAATCAATTCATATAACAAGCTTTCCAAAAATAACCGTCAACGATTCCACACAAAAAAAACGAGAGAAAAAAAATGTGTCGGGAAAATTCAATGCTTTCCCATTCCCGTCATAACTCCAAAGTCTCCAACGCGTTTTAGAGAAATTAATTTTAGATCGAAAACACAGGCAGCATTATGGTGCACGCGCCGGATACAAAGTAAGTAAGTAACCGAGCAACAGCAGCATGTGACCTAACAATTCACAATTGACAGACTGACAGTTATCCAGATGTATTCAAAATTTGCTACAAGATACGGTCTCTGATTTCAGACTACTATACTATCTAAAGCTCGACATGGAGAGCTTTCTCGAGGAAGACAGTAACAATTATGGGGCCAGCCAGATCGCCGATAGCACAGCCTGCACAAGGAAAGCTTGAGCATCATCAACTCTGTTTGAAGGGCACAGGCTAAATTACATAAAACCTGGCAGTGATGTAGATTGCTTACCAATCCATTGACCAGTTGTGGGTCGGACAATGGCAGCAGTGATCCCAGCTCCTATGGCAGCAAAAACTAGCGAAGCACCACACCTGAGAGTAACACCAGTAACTTTCTTGCCAAGGATTTTAACTTGTTCTGATTTTGCAACCCGAGTGATCTCTTCTTCAGACTTCGCCAGCCGATTGAAGAACCGGTATGTTTCAATACCAACTTGCACAATCCATGATGCAGCAACTCCTAAAAAGTGCCCTGCTCAAACAAAAGGGCAACACTGCCAAACGTCATCAGTTGGAAAGCCCTGGGACATTATTTGCCAGAGAGAGGAAGATAAGGAGTTCGACCTCTAAAAGTCGTTCTACTGACTCTGAAGATGTAAAGCGTGGTAGGTAATCCTCTTTCAGCCTTGCGCATGGCTGATTTTGGGATATCTGTTAATTGGTTGTTCAATGAGTTAGCAGAGCTAAAGGGATATGAACAAAATGGGAGAACTTGGAAATTGTTCTGCAAAGGGGGAACCTTCAAACCAGTATTCAGCTTTATACCAAATATTTCTGAAGATGCTAGAGGGGAAGAATCTAGGAAACTAAATAGGATATCAAAAGTTTACATTACATGTCGTAGTTACCTTTAAGAAGTTTCCATGCCATTCGTTGCGAGACATAATGGACAGCAAGACGTTCTAAGATCCTCCTTGTAGTCACCACAGTTGTCTGTCATGAGAAGCAGTCACATTACAATTATATCATACTCACTACAAGTCTACAAGCTTATATAATTGTACTCGGTCAATTTCATTCTTAGAGAGAAAACGGAGAGAGTTTCAGCATGCTGACCGCAGATTCAATTCTCTGGTTCATAGGGGGTATCATTTGCATGCAGATAGTTAGATCACAGAACCAGAGGAGAAGCGAAGTAGCTTTAGTTAGATGTATCTAATGGTTAATGAAACTTATCTAAGTTCAATTATCATGGTACAATAAACCCCAAGTGGTTGAAAAGTGTAAGGGTGGACGAAAACATTCAATCCACCTGAAATTTGGGACACACATTACCTATGAAAATAATTGCTTGTCAAAGTATACTACAAACCAACTAGGGGGAAAATAGACTTGTAGGTACGGAGCAGCTCAGCTATACTGTCCCAGAGACAAACCCTCGTACCCAAATCTTTATTATGCCCGAGTATTTAGAGTCTAGAGCAAAAAACTGCAACTCAAGTCCTACATAAAGACCGAAGATAAGTATACAATGCAAACCATGGTCATTGTCCAATAGATAAGCCACTTGACAGAAGCTGTTGAGACAAAAGTTGCTTGAATGTTTACAGCTGTATAATGAATGCCTTGGGATTAAAATTACAGCTATTCGGCTTCACAAACACGTTTAGCCTCTTCAGTTGTATCATTGAAAGGTGCCGCAAATATGGTACCAAGTTTACCATGATATTTCAACCATAGCTTTTATAGTCTGATGTTATCTAGCTATAAGTCCTTAAGATGCCAATTGCCAAAGGAACACTACTATCTACTACAAAACCAAAAGAAAGCAACACTACAAAAGTTAGTGTTCTGCTTTGGCCAGTACTTACTGAAAATCATTTCATGTCAGCTTATACTGACTCAAATGTATAGGAGAATAAGATTCTGACACACATTTAGTTCTGTAGGACTGAAAACCACAGAAAAGGAATGAAATTATACCTCGCGAGCAATTTGCTTCACCGACTTTCTGAAAGGGACAACTAAATCAACAGGTCTCTCATCTCGAACATCCTGCAGGAAGTCATCATCGTCCTCTTCTGTATGTACGCGTGGCTCCAGAAGAGGCAAATAATACAGCAAGAACGACCTCACTGATGTCATGGCCAGTTGCTTTGCTTCAAATGCTGAGAACAGCGGCTTTACATCGAAGTAGTATTCCTTGTTCGTGTACTTCAGCGAATCATGCTGAAAGACGCTGCTAGAGGCACTTCGGATGGCGGATAAATAGTCCTCAGATATTGCAGCACCCGCATCACAGTAGGCAACTGGAAATTCAGGGAAACTGGCATGGCAACAAGAAGTATCAATTTTCCCCTACACTGAAGATAACAATGGATACCATACCATCATGGGTGCAAACAAATCATAGGCACGCGCAATTGTAATCAGAAAACACAAACCACAATCCACGACATAGGAACGCATTGATCAAATTCCAACCCAGTTTCAAATTACATGTCACATCATGCCTAGGTAATTCCTTTTGAGCATTCCAATCAATCAAAACCCAAGTTCTTACAGCAAAAGGGGATCACGTTTCTCGTTCATCGTCGATGCATAAAACCGCCAAAACTAAAACAGAAGCAGAAGACCATATAGACATGAATCGTACCCGAACAAGAACCGAGAGGCAAAAGGGGTGCTCGCAGCAGCGACTGAGGCGGCAGCAGCTGATACGGCGGCGGAGGCAGAGAACTGAGGCGAATAAGAGCTGGGGTTTTTATCCTTCAACAGATCCAATACTATTGCGATACCCGCCATTATTCCTAACTTCGTCTCTCAATGCGCAATTAGCAAGGACAGACTGGACAGTGTTGTTCCAGCTAACAAGGACAAGGAGGAGAACTCCGATGGTGAAGATAATAAGAAACTCGCCCACTGATTAAATCTTTCGCCGGAAGGTTTCTTACGCGACTAACAGCCGAAATGTCAGCGTCCCGGAAAAAAAGGTGGTCTCTTTATCAGTGCCTGCCTTGTGCCTTCACCGTCCAGTCGAGAAAGGAAGGGGATTTTTGAAGCTCGTGAAGGGATTTACAAAATTTAGGGATTTAACCTTTTATTTTCCCTTCAATTACATGCTAGTGCTCCTCCGATTGAGGAAAAATGAACTGATTTGACCGGTTAGCCACATCAGCTTTTCTACCGTTTCAATGTTGTCAACAAATGGGTTGATCCGCTAGTTGACCCTGATTCGGTTAGAAAAATGGGTCTCACACACTCGTTGGATTGACCCGTTGTAAGATTATAAGATTGGAGGTCACACATTATCGTTTTTCCTTTTAGTTTGCGATATATGGTTATTTTATGGTTTCCCTCTTCACCTAACTTTATTTTTGGAATTCTAAATTGGACATTTGAATATTGATTTTGTATAAGTGTGTGAATTTTTACTATATGTTGGATCCTAATACAAAACGTTATTTTTGTGTAATGTTACTTAGATAAGATTTTATAATAATTTATAATGTATAAACAATATAATGACTTTTTGCATATACCAAACTATACCGAATTAAAATGGTCGAACCATTAACTCTCAATCTGCTTGCTCGACCGGGCCAACTTGGTTTCTATTGAATAAAAACTGAAGGGACTAAAACTCCTTTCATTCTCGTATGTCATTTTGAATAATATAAGCATAGAGAATTAGAGATGGCAAAATCAACTCTGCCTGTTGGATCTGAACTAGCCCATCACGTGTTTGGACAAATCCTACTCGGCCCATTTCTTGACGAGACGGGTATTGGCCCAATTCATTCCACTTCATGCCAAGTCCGGATACCAAATCCACCTTTTTCCCATACCCAGCCCGACCCATCTCATATCCTCCATAGTCCTCCTCCTCCCGCCCAAATTAGCACTCTCTAAAACATTATCGTTTAATTCACGGTTCATCGAGCCGAGTTCATATCCCCGTCTTCTTATTATCGATTAATCCCATTTAAATAGCATTCTTAACAGATTTAATAGGGAAATAATTGTCTCGTTCTCCAATTTTTCTTCTCCGTAACTTTAAATCGACCTATTCAACAGTTAATACCTTTTCCTTGTTGGCACCAGATCAACTCATCAACTTGTTGTTGCTAGACAGGCAAATGCATCAATTCATTGCTTCTACATTTACCCTTTGAGAAAAGGAATGATTTGTCTCTGGATTTTGTAACCATCAAAAGGTTTCCTCTTCTCTTTGTTTTAATGAATCTAAAGATGAGGAATCGGTTGCTTTCTATTATCAAGGACTGAACAAGGTTTCCTCTTCTTCTTGTTTTAATGAATCTAAAGATGAGAAGTGTTCTCTATCTTTTGCTTTTTTTTTTTTTTTGGTGAGGAAATCCCCTTGTCTCCAACATCATCAAGCTAAGTGTCATGTTTCACCTTACGCATTGGAAGTCATACAAAGGGTCCCTACTAGAATTGAAGGCTCAAAGGACTTTAGGGATTGGAACTTGGAAGTTTAGCAAAGAAGAGAAGTTTTGTGTTAAGAGTTAAGACAGATTATCATGCTGGAGACAATGACAATTCTTACCTCTAGAATTTAAAAAAAAATATTTAAAAATGAGGAGAGCTAGAAACTGGAGTTCACTACATCTTCCATGAGAAAATTCAAATTTCTCATCTAGTGATGCTTAAATAATAATGTTGGTACAAAATCATGACTTTCGTGATTAAATATGTTCCTCAAAATGGACTTTCTCAATTTGTCAAAACCTGGGTGATTCTCTCTTCCAATTCCTTTGATTCTATAGGGATAGCACTTGGATTGCTATATTCTCACATCTCCCTAACCCTCATTATATATTTCTATTTATTCGAGTTTTCTCTTTGAAAGACTATCTCCTACACTCGAATCTCCTTTATTTAGTTTTCCTTTCCTAAATATCTGGAAGCTTATGAATAAATGTGTTTTTAGGAATCATGCCTCAAAACTTCCTTGAGTGGAAATTTTAATTGTCGGAGAGACCTCCCAACGGCCTCTTCTTAATACCCAACCGGGAGAAGCTCGTTCTCATACCTTTTCACCCAAGTATAATCCCTCGATGATGTCGTTATTAAGCGATTCGCAGCTAGCTCCTGGTGGTATATAATATTATGGTCATTAACAACTATGAAAATTAAAAGTTCATGATGGACAAGCTAATAAAATCCTGTCTTCTAACCATAATGAAGTTGAAGTTAATTAAGGTTCTTTGGAAGATCTTAAGTTAGCTCAAGAGTACACATCCGGATGTACTGTCCAATCGAATTATCATGTTCTCGTTCATTCTATCACGGGTGTCGCATCTAGGCGGTCTTGGCTATGTGCGTCTTGGATTGGTTCAATATAGTTGTACGTATATATTCTCAAGATAAACCTTGAAATAAGATTGAGAAAAGATTTCACAAAGGATAAAAAATAGGGTTTATTGGGTTGCTTGTTATTCTTTAGATTGACCATTTCTCCTCAATAACTGGATCAATATATAGTTTAGATTTTAGTTCTGATTTTATTTCTTGGTCCTTTATGTAACTCTTTTCACGGTGGAATAAAGTCGGATCTTACTCGGGGGAAAAAGCTTGTCCAGTTGTCCTTTTGTGTCCTTGTTATGTTTAACTCTCATCCTTTTTATTTTAAAGCAAATATGAAATACCTCATTTTTTATTAACATACTAACGTACTGAAGTAGTACATCATTACAATTGCATCGAAATCGTACAATATCAAACAATAATAACAGGTGAAACAAAACCCAACACTATATTGCGCATCATATGGGCTAATCAATCATATATGATCATATGCATTCCTATGAGATTTGACATAAAATTAAACCAGTCGTTCATGTGTATACCGACAGAAAATATGATTTGCTGGATCGTAGACTAAAACATCAACACACCTTTCCGTTGCACTTGAACTTGTACGCCGTACGTTGCAAATTATTCCGATCATCAGATGGGCACTCCAACTATTATACGTACGTACGTAGTTTAGCTCTTATGTCTTGGGGATATTGTCGCTGGTTGGTTGGGATCGTAATTACCGTCATGCGTATAATCGTCCAAGGCTGCGTAACCGTTTGCTGCTTGCCCGTCGACGGGAGGAAGAACAGTCGTGTAGGCGGCCTCTTTCTGCACTAGTTTCCTGCCCGAGATGCAAGGCGGGAATGCGATGACAGCGTGGAGAACGACGATGATGAGGAGCGCAATCCACAGAAACCTGCGATAAGGGAAGCGTGAAGACGTCATTTTGGCAACAATCTCGATCTTCTTTTTTTTTTTTTCAACTATTGATTGATATTGTTTCTTTTGTCTTGTTTTTTCTGTGGGGGGCTTGTGAAGCACAATATTACAAGCACAAACGAAGTGAGTGCGTGCTTATATAGGGGAGGTTGGCCTCCCCTCCCTCATGTTTCATTTCAGGCGACGTTTGGAGTTTAAATGTTTGTTTGATTTGACACAAATTCGTTTTGGTTGAGATTGTTTGATTGGAATTGTTGTATTTTCTTCTTTTTCCCACTCTGTCCTTATCTTTTTATGTGTGTTGCTTTTTTATACTAAAAACAAAGGGTACAAATGACATTTCACCCATAAAGTAATATAATTTATTTGAACACTAAATTCGCTATCACAAATATCAAACAATGTAAACTACAATACGCCAATTTTCTTATACACATGTATATTATTATGCATACATTGATGACAATACATCGATTCAACTATCAACAAAACCAAACGACCCCTTAAAGTTAATACCTCTCCATATTGCTGATTTTTTAAAAAAAGTTTGCATTGTTTTGGTAACTACGAGTATTACTGTGACACTTTATGCCAGTTCGATATTGATAAAGTACGGAGAGATTCATGGTTCATATGTAAGAAACTGATCTTAATTGATAAGACACATTTTGGGGTAGAATGAAAATTTTCTTGTAAGAACTTCGGAGTTAAACCTGCTTGCCATGGAGCACTGCAAGGATGAGTGGCCTTATGGGAAATCACCTTGATATGCACACTACGACAAAATTCGTGAGGGTTTAGACCCAAAGCGAACAATATCTCGTCAGAAAAAAAGGTAAAATCAACAATAATATGTAGTGAAAATAATGTAACTCTCTTCAAAATCTATATGTTGAATGAATCCATGGATCAAATCCTTTTTTGCCCCTCGGTTTCTTTTTGCTCTTTTTTCTGTTTAATGTTTCATAAGAAAATGTAGGGATTACCATCACTTCTTTCAATATTTTCTCTATAATTATTGATCGATCTCTTTCAGCTATATTAAAACATTAAATAAATTGTATCCTTTCTCTTCAATTCCCAGAAAACAGAAAGATCAAACACTGTTTGAAAGTTTATCCTCAAGAGTAAAATTAATCAAGTCAGTTGATCAGGACGTTAGGGGACCATATATATATCAAGTCCTACTGTGGAGGGAGGAAATGCATCAGATGAAATACCTACCGTGTTTTAGCCGGTATTGAGACAGACAGGGTTAGCAACAAATTAAATAGGACCCAATCAGAGAAAATGGCCGGCGGCGGCTTTCCCTTCCACTCCATGCAGGAAAGGAAAGGGAATGGAGGGCCAGAGGGGGATTAGCAGCTGGCTCGATGGTGATAGTGGACTTACGACGGGAAGACTTAGAGTGACCTTTTCTAATATTGGTCCTTTTCTGTCCCGCCAAATTAAATGCAGTTGACGCTGACACCTATAGTCATCGTTGAATTTTCTTAACGACCAAATGTCATAATCTTCTATCTAATTTACAATTTGTTAAGGTTGTCAACTCGAGGGCCGATCCATTAATCTGCGGATCGATTTGCGGGTCGACCCACTTTGACACTGACCCGGTGAGAAAAACGGGCCGCACGTACTTGCCGGGTCGATCGCTACAAGGTACCGGGTTAGAGGTCAAATTTTGTCATTTTTTTCTTTGGTTTGCAGAACGCGCCTATTTTCCGATTTTTCTTTTCGCCTAACTCAATTTTTGGAATCCAAAGTTGAACATTTGAATATTGATGTTATATAAGTGTGTGTGAATTTTCACTATATGTTGGATCTAAGTACCACATGTTATTTTAGTGTAATATTTTATGTTATAACTCATATGTTAGAACTTAGATGAGATTTGATATAATTTATCAGAATAAGTACAATATAACGACACTTTTCACATTTCTGGGCTAAACCGGACTAAAATGGGTGATCCATTAACCCTTGACCCACCAGCTCGTCCGGGTCCGGGTCAGCCCGCGGATTGACAAATGTCAACCTTGAATTTGTTGATTTTTCACCAATTTCAACACATACTTTTCTATGTGTAGTTTGGAACATTGAAGATTGTCAAAATTTAGTAACCAATACTTTTGATTTTTTATAAGCAACCAATTTTATTAGTATTTTAGCTTCCAAAATGTTGCTGGTCATAAATACTAATTTCTTGCAACCAATTTTGGTTTGGTTTTAAAATATTTTGGCTTTGTTGTAGTGTTAAGTTAAGGTATATCGGTGATATAATTCACAAAAATTATTTGCAACCTTCACTTAAAATCATCGCTAGCTTAGCTTGTGTTCATTCACATAATATTAATTGTTCCAGATATACAGATTGTATAATGGATTATATGTTAGTGAAATATATACAGATTGATCTGGGATCCAAATATCCAATTATATCTATTTAAACTCATATACAGTTTGTTTCTCCGAATAAAATTAAAATGTCGAACTAAATGTAAATATGTGACTCACAACACGTTGAACCAATTTTTGCGGTGAAGAGTTTTCTTCTTTCTGTGTGTGCTTTTTTGTGGTTTGTTAAGAGCAGAGCAGGCCGGAGATCGAAAGAGTGACCATACATAATTTAGTACTATGTGAGTTGCAGTTTCTTTTGGAGGCACTATGGTCTATGGCCTTAGCTTAGGATGAGCGAATGTATTAGCTACTGATCCTTGTTTCAGTTTTCGCTAAATATATTTTCAGCATTAGGAACAACAACAAAAATGCTACACTTTTCCGTTTTCACAAATACTTTTACCTTCAGGTCGCGCATGCGTGTTTAGCGAAAAAAAATAACAGAACGAGTTACTGATGCCACGATTGAATCAAGTAGAAACATATTTAGTAAAAATCAATTTATTATCCATATAGTACTCGTGTTCGTACTAAATATGTTCTAAACTCCCGTTCCGTATTATTGTATACCTAATAATTTTCTTTGTTTCTTTAACACTTGACGTACAAAACACGTATATTAAGTTCAATACATGTATTTTAACTTTAATTTTAATTTTGTTTCGTACTTGATGCTTAACTTTTAGAGATATTATTAACTTAACATAAGGTATAGAACTTCTTATTTATGTATTAATATGGCAACATATATACCCGCCTCATATTTTACTAACCCTGACTAGGAGAAGGAAAGGCTAGGACATGCATGTGTGGAACTAGGAATGACAATCAAACCCATGACCTCGGGTACCTGATCGTCTTCGACCTACTCAAAGCGGGAAATCGCTACATTGACTTGGTATGGGCGGGGCGGTTATGGGTAAAACCCGCAAACGTTTGATGGGTATGAGACTGGTATGGTTTTAGCGTCCTTCGTCTCATAATGATAGCAAAAGTAACTCAAGAAAATAAAAAGTAGAAATGCAATTGAATGACTAACCAAATCAAAATCTATTTTCTTTTCCTCAACTCTCCCTTCGCTCTTTCACTTTTTCTCTCGTGTTAGCAAGATTATGTTAGCTAGTTAGTTATTACTTAGCAGATGTATCAGATTCAGAGAATAATCATTTAGATTACATGTAATATATCTTATAGATTAATGGATATTTTAGAATAAGATGCTTTGATCGTATTAATAATAATTGTATCTTTTTTTGACTTCATGATATAGTAGGTGTGTTGAATGTTGTAATAGAAAATTTACATGTAAAATTTTAGTTATTATAATGTTAGATGGACGAGGCGGGTATTACCTATAGGTACCCGAAACCCACAAGTATGAGAGTGGGTTTCAAAAACCTTTCCCACATGGGTATGGAGCGCGGGGATGGAGATGGTTTAGCCAAACCTGTCCCATTGCCATCCTATGTGGTGAGACATACGTACACCTCAAATCGAGTTTATTTTAGTGTCATAGTTCTCTTTTTGGCAGTATTTGTAGAAACCTCTTTCTTATTAATTGTACAAATCATCTAATCCTAAGTCTCGTCGTTTATCCATTCATCCTATAATATATATTTCAAATAAAGAGACTCGTCTGACTGTAATATAATATGTTTGTTCTTTTTATAATGATGGTAATATGTTTGTTACATATAATTAAAATCAAAATGTTATTAGACATTCATACAATACCATTCTTAATAACACCTAGCAGTAGCATCTGCATGTCGAATACTCAATCATAGACAATGCACAAAATTAACAACACACCTATTTTTTAATATAATATCGTCAATATCATACTAGTCCACGATGAGATTATCTCCCACTCAGCTTTATGATCACACTTTTCGTTAACCTTGTACACAAGTCTACAGCCTGAGTATATATGGGTTTGACACAGCAAACCCTAAACACACAAGTACACATCGGTACATAATCTTTAGATAATCAACACCGTACACTTTAACAAGACAACGGGCGGCCCCACATATACGCCGTCACAAATTATTCCTGCGGAGAATCCATAGACACATACGTATATAGATATGTAGGCTGTAGGTATTTCAGCTTTATCTTAATTCTTAGAGGGACTGTATCCGCCGCCGGGATTATACCCACCGTAAGACCCGCCGGGACTATACCCACCGTAAGACCCGCCGGGATTATACCCACCGTAAGACCCGCCGGGATTATACCCACCGTAAGACCCGCCGGGATTATACCCGCCGGGGTAATCACCATCATTGTCAGTCTGGTAGGAGTCCTGAGTCATCGCCGTCGCCGGCGACATTTGGACAGTCTTCTGCTGGGTCGTCGTCGGAGACTTATCACCTTTGGCAGATGAGCCATCACCCTGATAAATGTGGTCTCCGTAGCCTAATTTCCAACAATATAATTTTAAATTCACGATTGTCGGGCACGCACAAAAACAATTAGTATTGATATTTTTGTTTTGTAGAGCATGCTACGTAGTACGTACTGCCAATAATAAATTAGCAAAGCTGCATAATACTCATTCTCAATGAAAACAAGTACGAGAATAATTTTCCCTAAAAAAAAAAAAAAAAGTACGAGAATAATTACCGCTAGCTGTAGCGGCCGGGACCGGGACCGGAACCGCCGGGGAGTATTCTTCCTGCAGCAGTGTCCTGGCGGAGATGGCGCCTTGGAGAAGGAGGAGGGCAATCAACAGAGTCAGAAAGCGGTGAGAAGGAGAGCACAACAAAGTCGTCGTTTTGGTCACCATTGTTTGTGGGAGTAGCTAGCTAGGCAAATTAATTAAGTTGCCTCAATGAAACATATATATATATATAGGACCGGGGGAGGTTAGGGTTAGACTCCTGGCCGGATTTGTCCATCATGTTACTTCATGAGTCCAGTTGTATACGGACTATCGTTCTTTATGATTGTCAGTTTTTTATTGTTATTGTCCGACCATGTCCTCGAAACTTATCTTGGATAAAAAAAAAATATCACACCATTTTCTTTGTGTTCTTTTTTTTTGTTAGTTCTTCTCCAACTATTAGCTAGGTCATATTACTGTTAGTACAAAAATATCATCTTTATCGTCTTTCGTGAAGATTTCAATAAGCCTCATACTAATGAAAATTCGGACATATTTTACTAATTTAAAATATGACGAGCTAAATATTTTTTTGATAAATAGACAATAAATCTTAGAGATTTTTATTTAAACCATGCTTGATTGAGCGATGTTGAACGGTGGAAATCGTTATTCAAGATATCACGTAAGTATAACTAGCTATGTTTTTTAAAATAAAAATTACGCAACTTCTAATTAAGTGGCGATTTGAGAACCATGATATACGAGCAACTAATAAGATGTGAACGAAAGAATTTGCAAGTTTGGTTCGTCAAATGCAGACGAAGCATGCGATCGGAAATTCTTATGTGCCGCCACTGCACCGGTACAGTTCACGATTGACAGGCTACTGTAAGTTGGCTTTACCGAAAACAATTTCTCTGCCTCACCATTTGATATGTCAATTTTTAATCATTTTCCCATTTTTTCTTGTTGATTTCATTTCCCCACTTTTCGTTTACAGGTAATGTATTTTTCATTCCTACATAACAAAACAAAAGTTAATGTATAAGATAATTTTTTTTAAGGGTATAATATAAGATACTTGGGAGTCACATAGACATACAACGAAGTTAAAATTATGTGTATCCTCTTATTAGAATATAAATTTCAATTAAGGATTTCATCTTTAGTATAATAAATCAATGTTCTTGTAATCAAATAATAAAGAAGTGACTTTCTAGTAGTGGTAAAATACCCTTATGTATGCTCCAAATGGCGAATAACATTGCTTGCATAAGTATACATGAGGATTTATTATTATTATTATTATTTTTATCGAAACAAACTTACTTGTATTCTCTGAAAGAGCCAAAAACCCTTTGGGTTCGACTATGATATAAGTTATATCATCATGAACCACTTTCATATCACCATGATACAAGCAATGTTATTCAAGCAATGTTATTCACCATCTTAGGCGGTCATAAGGATATTTTTCCACTTCACGAAAACCTTACTATTTGATATTTGATTACCAGAGTGCAGAGCATTGATTTATTATACCAAAAACGAAATCTCTTATTGGAATATATTTTGAAAAAGAACATACCTACATACCGTTTGGAAGGGTTGTAACGTTTGAAATTAGTTGAGTTTACACTTGAAACATGATTTCCAGTAATAACAATATTGTTTATACTGGAAATCAATAAGGTTATGGTTGGAAAGTTAGAATTTCATTCAATAATTATATTTGAAACATGATTTTTGAATTTATTTTATTTTAAAAAATTTGAATCTAACATTCCAAACATATGAATTTATTTAATAATAAATTTTATACATAAATTCATTTTAAAATTAAAAGAATTCTCAATTAATTTAATTCCAAACAATCTGCTAATTTCAACTTTTATCTCTACAATTGTCACTCCCCAATTATTTTATATTAACTTTTGTTTTGTTGTGGAGGGATAGAAAATAATACATGACTGGTAAAAGAAAAGTGGGGAAATGAAACCAATCGAGAAAAAAAGTAGAGAAATTGTTTTCGACAAAGCAACTCACAATAGCCGGTCAACTATAATTCATATATATATATATGAACCATTATTATCTGGCAGGTCCCTATTTCGCTTTTACCTCCCTTTGTTTTATGTGCTGCATTTGTTTTCATTTTTGGAATCTGAGACTCTTATATTCCTTACTTTTCTTATTTTTTCAACAAACAAAATATCCATCATGACAGTTTTAAAAATTCGTTTTTCATTCATCAAATATCATCACAATTATTATTTTGTGTATATGAAATATTGTCAATAACCAGTTGATCTCAATAACTCGAGTTGTTTGGAAGAGATTCAATTCTGGCTCATAGCCCATATATGGTGGGTTTTGTTTGAAAGAGTGTGTTAGGATGTGGTATATGATCCATAATCGAATCTCTCCTAACAACTAGAATTATTGGGACTAACTAGTTCTTGACAGTACGATCATCATAGCTACGAATCATGTTGAATTGGCCAGAACAAGTAGCTAGTGACCAGTGAGTAGAATTGATGTGGGAGCTTCTTTGGCAAAAATTCCAAAAGGGACACGTACTGAGTTTCTCCGCAAAAGTACAATATAGTCGCTGGACTAGGAAACTACGAACGGGCGGCTCGTGTCATCACTGTGTGGTGGAAGTCACCTAAACAAGAGATAACACTTACATGGAAGTTTGTGATTAGGGATGGCAACAAAACTAGAAATTATGGGTATCTATTCGACCCAATCCGGTCAATGCGGGTAAAACCCGTGTTGATGGGTTTTGGGTCGGGTTTGGGTTTAAACTCGTTCACAATTCATTGAGTTGGGTTGGGTTTGGGTTTAGGTAAACCCGCCCCATGGGTATCTGTCCACACTCATATAATTAATTTTTCCGGTATATTTAATATTTAAACAACTAATCTTCTTTATATTTATGAAGACATGTCTAATTTTTTCTTTCTAATTGTGTGGAATGAAGTTGATATTATCGAGTAGAGAGTGGAGAAGCTTAATTGACAAGGAGGAAAAAGTTTTCAATTAATCATGTTTTTTATGGATAATTTGTGATTTGCTTCAATTTTCTTTAGTTTTCTAGATTGGTGTTGAACAATTTGTATGGTTAATTTGTGATTTGCTTGAATTTTCTAGAATAGTATTTTATATATGGATAATTTGTATTGAGAGATTGATATTTGACTTTTATTTTGATAGGAACTTGTTATTGTAAATTTTTTACGACAAAAACTCATGGGTACCCATGAACCCGTGGATACTCAGCGGGTTGGGTTGGGTTTGAGTTTTTCAAACCCAGTAGGTTTTACCCCGGATTTTTTTTCACGAATAAACCCATGGATTTGGGTTTGGGTTTGGCAAAACCCGACCCATTGCCATCCCTATTTGTGATGCTCGTGCGATGGGGTAAAATACAAGAATTGCAAATTGTATTGTAAAAATCTCCTATTAGAGATTTAATTGGTTGGTAATTTTTAGTAGCGCTGAAACGATTGAATAATAATTAAATCAGCATTTTGATATAAATATTTTATTGTTATTTTTCGGTACAACCTGAGACTTTTAGAAAAAAGGCCATGCTAACTAAGTGTCAACGGGCAACGGCTGAGAGAGGTACAGCGTGCCCTGACTATTAGCTATAAAATTCAATACGGAATCTCATTTGACTAAGTCACCTTGCAAACTGGTATAATAAGCAAATCCATTTATTGGAAAAAATGGTCTTTGGATTTTGGTGTGGAATTGGAAAAATTGGTCTACTGATCCCACATTTTGCTGTCAAGTACAATTCTCTTTTCCACTTTTGTCCCTTTTCCGTCCCGCCAAACGGTGTTGACGTTGACTCTATATATAATTGTCAATTATTTTTTTTCATATATAATTGTGAATTATTAGTTATTAGGGATAGGTTGGGACTTGGGAGATCCAATAATGTTTCTGTTGGGCTAAGAATAAGCCCAACAAAATCAGGCCAATAAAGTAACAACAAATTAGGCCCAATAGATAAGACAATTCAACTTATTGGCTAGATGCATGCTAGATTTCCTTGCACAATTAGCACAGGGCCCAGTTGTTGGTCGGGAAAGTATTTAGATCAGTAAACTGGATGATTAAAATGGATATGATAGATGACCAGAAATGCATGTATTGTTTGTTTGTGGCCTTAGTTATGCAAGTTGGTCTAATTATGCATAACGTGCTTTTTTTATGAATCGGTTAGGTTCATTTCATCAAAAAGCAACACTAACAACACCCTTGCTAGTTAGGGAAAACACATAAGTTTTGTTTCAACCTGTACTATTAACCAACCTCAAAAAAGACTCAAAATTTTCCCTCCCAAACAGCCCTATAATCTCTTTCCGAACAACTCTACACAAGACATCACATTCCCTGCACTAACCACTAAAAACTATACTGCACATTTCTCTCCATAAGAGACTCACCAAGCTGTGCCATAAGGGTTTGCCAACCTGCAACTGGACTGATTGAGACCCGTACTGATGCTGCAGCCACTCAATTTCACCCTCCAAAGAGGAAAGCATCTGAGCATTCCTTGAGCCCCTGCAAAACAGTTTCAAGACCAATTTCCTATACAATGGACACTCTGCAAACAAATGGTCCATCGTTTCAAGAGGACAATTACAAAAAAACACTTCCTACACCACCATCAAACCCCCATTTCAACATTCTCTCTTTGGTAGTCACAACTCTTTTAATTATCAACCACGTAATAAACTTGTTCCGAGGGATTGAGCTACCCTTCCATAAGATATTAGACCATGTCACTTTCTGCATTTTTCGTCTAAGAGTCTCCCAGATTCTTTGAATGGAGAAGACCTCCATTCTCTCCTGATCCCAGTAAACTTCCTGTCCCTGCTAATGAAAGTGAGAGCACACTCTCTGCCTTGTTTTCAGTATGCATTTCCAGTTCCAAGATCCAGAACCACCAGAATATAGCCAAAAATCTTGGCCTTTAAGTTTGTAGTTGCTAATCCATGCAACCCATAATGTTCCATGCTGCATTAACAAGAGCCATATATGACGTGTAACACAAGCCACATTCCGAGTATCCAAGTCTCTCAGACCAAGGCCCCCTCCTGTTTGGGAAACGTGAGGTTCTTCCATCCAACTTTTGCTTTCAATCTTCCTAACTGCCCCACTCCTCATAAGAAATTGCTACAAATTCCCTCCACTTCTCTAATCACTGCCTTTGGAAGTATAAAAACAACCCTCCAGTATTGATGCAAGCTATACAACACTAAACTGACTAG